TGTGCCTGTTTCTAATAGGCTGTGCCTGTTCCTAATAAGCTGTGCCTGTTCCTAATCGGTTGTGCCTGTTTCTAATAGGCTGTGCCTGTTCCTAATAAGCTGTGCCTGTTCCTAATAAGCTGTGCCTGTTCCTAATAGGCTGTGCCTGTTCCTAATAAGCTGTGCCTGTTCCTAATCGGTTGTTCCTGTTTGTAATAGGCTGTGCCTGTTCCTGATTGGCTGTGATTGTTCCCAATAGGCTGTGCCTGTTCCTAATAGGCTGTGCATGTTTCTGATAAGCTGAGCCTGTTCCTTATAAGCTGTGCCTGTTCCTAATAGGCTGTGCCTGTTTGTAATCGGCAGTGCCTGTTCCTAATAAGCTGTGCCTGTTCCTAATAGGCTGTGCCTTTTCCTAATAAGCTGTGCCTGTTCCTTATAAGCTGTGCCTGTTCCTAATAGGCTGTGTCTGTTCCTAATAAGCTGTGCCTGTTCCTAATAGGCTGTGCCTGTTCCTAATAAGCTGTGCCTGTTTGTAATAGGCTGTGCCTGTTCCTAATCGGCTGTGCCTGTTCCTAATAAGCTGTACGTTTTCCTAATAAGCTGTGCCTTTTCCTAATAGGCTGTGCCTGTTCCTAATAAGCTGTGCCTTTTCCTAATGAGCTGTGCCTGTTCCTAATGAGCTGTGCCTGTTCCTAATCGGCTGTGCCTGTTCCTAATAAGCTGTGCCTGTTCCTAATAAGCTGTGCCTGTTCCTAATTAGCTGTGCCTGTTCCTAATAGGCTGTGCCTGTTCCTAATAAGCTGTGCCTGTTCCATATAAGCAGTGCCTGTTCCTATTTTGATGTCCAACTTTTTTTTGTGCCTGTTCCTATTTGGAACTGGATTTTGACCCTAATCCCGCTTTATACATATAGTAAACGTACCAGCGTTAAAATTGCGGTAGCGCTTGTGAATTCCATATTTGCGGCTAAAGTCAAGGGCGAAGGAACGGAAATTCTGTGATCTCGTCTGATAACATCAATGACAAAAGAAAGATAGATAAATCTGGTAATTACACAAAGGAAAACTGATGGTACGCAAGTCGACTCAAAAGGCACACGCATAACCTATGCCAGACTGGTCACTCAACAGTGGAGGATCGTAAACGCAACATTTTCAATAAGAATTAAAGTCCAGTGTTTCCGTGGCAGTTTCGCTTTCGCATGGTTATATATTCTCGCAAAGTCTATTTCTTTCGCTGATCTGTGAGCCGTGCATTTCATAGGAAGTTGGTGGTGTTTTAGACACCTAATAAAAAATGAATTCTTGAAATTCTTCTGGACGGCTCCGTCTGCTAACTTCCTTTTGTCTTTTAACGCCACGAGAAATTCCCACGCGATGACCCCATGCAACTTCTCCTCAGCTAATGTTACTCTAGCCTGCGTCGCAGACATTCTTCACGTCCGGCTGCAACGCAGGCTAGTGTTACTCGAGGTCTAAAATGTATTGGTGGACGACGAAAAGCTCTTATTAAAGAGCTCGCAACTAGGGCTTGCGCTTTCGCTAGTCTAAGTTTGGAGCTGTGGCTGAACGTCGTTATATTTTGAGAGGCGTGGAAAGGTTCCCGTGATTTTCTCACGCTTACAAGCATATGTTTCATTAAAAACATGCAGGCGTGACCACGAAACGTATGTTCAAATTGTTTATTGCAATGTGGTAGGTCAACTTCGTTTTCACATGCTGTGCGACCGTTATGCCGCGACTAAAACTCATGGCAAATTTAGCACAACAAAAGATAAATAAACAGGTTTACAACGCAGCTATCTTTCATGTATAATGGTTCATAATTATTCATAACACTCAGTAAAGGAAAAAAAAATCAACACTTAGTTTTAGTCACGTGCGTTATCGTCTTAGGGATGAATGAGCCAAGTGCTTGAATGTCTTTGTACAAACTTCGTACAACATGTCCTGCTACATCCGGTCCGGGTTTTAGGATTCGGGGTCATATTCCGTCATTCCGTCATTCCGGCATTCCAGCATTCCATCGTTCTAGGTTTTAGGGTCATGCATTTTGAATGCTGACCTTTCGTGCATAGCAGATGAATGTAACAAGCGCAAGCTGTAAGAATGTGGTGCAGACTACCTACACTTGGACGTCATGGATGGGTATGTATCCTGAATCTAAACTCGAAAATAAAGCGGATGTTTGAAAAAAGATAGACTACTAGCTAGGATTCCTGTTTTCTTACGTGACGTTCTGTGCACCTTTATGATGGATGTGAAGACCTCCCAGAATTCTCACATGATCAAGCAGAAACTCAAAATTTTCTCGAAGAACATAGAAAGTCCTTTATTTCAGGAAATCTTATCTCACTTGTTAGTCTTTACGACAATCACGATGCAAGAAGACAAATTGAGACGGATATTCGAAACCACGTTCAACGTCTCCTCGATCAAGGTTTGACACGATCAGTGATTGTAGAAATTAGACACTCACCTGGTACAGGTGGCTCCACTATAGCGCGTCGTGTTATGTGGGACCTTCACAGAACCTACCCCTGTGCAATTCTGGAATTAATGACTTCTCGCTATTATTTCGATGAAGACAACATGTTATCCACCAAATTTGCTGACCGCATTTCAGCATTAGAGGAACTTTGCCATACGTCGCCTTTGATCCTAATTGACGGAAAACACTCTGGATTGATTGAAGCTCTTTCAAACAAGCTCGTACGAATGCTCTGCAACAAAGGTAAACGAGCCCTGTTATTACGCTGTAAACATGGATCAAAGTCAACCAAAAAGGCAACCCAGGAGTCTTCTCATGTTCACCATGTATTTGATGTGAACGTTAAGCTTGAGGATTCGCTCTCTGATCTAAACGAGTTTCAATCCAAGTACAAAGAATACATTGCTCAGTCGTTAAGTGGGAATCAAGGGCAGAAGCTTTGCCGTGTCTTTCATTTCCCCCTACTTGCCATGATGGAAGAGTTTCAGCCCAAGCTAAAAGGGATAATTGAAGACACTCTGGACGAAATGGGAGGCATCCAACAAGAAATAGCAATGGTCGTGGCTTTCTTGCAAAAATACGCAAATCATGTAACACCAGCCCTCCTCCTGTATGAAGCATTTAAAGGGTACATTCGCGTCTCCAGTGACACGCCTATTACCTATAAAGACATCAAACATCTGTTTACAGAGCACTTGCTCAATCTGATGGTGCCTACAGATCCTCCTAGGCCAAAGGAAGAAAAAGTATAACAGAGAAAGCGCCGCTCGAATGTTACACTCTTCAGCATCCGCTGGTTGCGGATTTGGTTCTGAAAAAGGTTTTACAGGTCCAGGAGTGTGATCTCTTTGGAATAGTGAACAAGTTCCTTCAGTTACCTATTTACCAGCACGAATGCTTCGTTCCCCTATTTGAAGAGCTGTTTCTCCACAACAAGTATGGGCAAAAAATCAAGTTTTCAATTTTGTTTGAAGAGCTCAAGCGTATGGATTCAGAGCACGCGGCAAGAATCTTCTGTGAGGCTGCTGTGAAGACAAATGACGCCGCTGTATATGCTAACGCAGCAAGATTTCTCGCTAAGAAGGAACCACCGTCGTTTTCGAAAGCAAAGTATCTCATTCAGTGTGCTTTTAAAGCCAACAATTCAAAAGTACGCATGCGTAGCTTGTATCACACCAAAGGCCCCGTTCTCTTCCATGAAATGAAGCGTGAGATTCACTCTGGCCTAGTAAAAGATCTAAAGAAGCTCGAAGACCTAGCCAGTGTAGTACTAAAGGCTTATCACGAGGCACGAAACTTTCCACCAACCTATCCTCATCCTCTAATTGGTGAGGTTGAAGTTTGGCTAGCTTGTATCGAATGGATTATGAAAAATCCTTGCAATCGTGACTCTAATCGAACCTTGAAATTTCTTACCAACCAATCACCATCTTTCTTCCGGACCTGCGTCAGTGACTCATTTAATCTACTGGATGTCGTGGATGAAATCTGCCAGAGTGTCCCTAACCTTACAGATGCCGAAGAAACTCAGCGACTCAGTAACAGTGCTCGATTGCCCCTAATTTCTAACTTCAAAAGAGGACTTTCAGTAACTGGACGACAGCGAAATGCAGATGATTTACTTGAAGCTTGCAAAGCATTGTGTAGTACTCCTAACTTCCCGAGATCTTCACAAGTAGAGCTGAAGAAGCTTCAAGCCCACTTTATTCTGAGTGGCGATGATCCAATTGACTCTTTAAACCGCGAGATCCTCGAGTATTTGTTGAGACTTCTGGAGGATCTAGTGCTGGCAGAGAACGATTATAGGCTCGCATACCATCTGATGAAGGTTTGTGTCTTGGTGACTGGGAAAAGATGTTACAGTCTTGAACAAGGTCTTACTGTTTGCGAGAAGTGGTGCGATGCATATCCTCACGATTGCCTCCCTTACTTTTACCAGATGACCATCTACTTTTTACAGATTCTTGATGGCAACTCACTTGAATTTACACCAAAGTACACCAAAGTATTGAGGATGTGCCAAGAGAAGTCCCAGAACCATTTTCGAAGCACTCAGTCGACGTTGTTTGTTGGGAAAGGAGGGCAAGGGATGTCCCGTCTTATCACTCGCAATACGCTACTGCGAGGGGAAACTGACTATGTTACAGACGACTCCGATAAAGTTACAAAGTTTTGGCGGGTGGATAGTCGAAAAAAATTGTTGGAATGCAAGGGAAGAATACGTGTCTCAGAACAGTCATCCGGTCGTCGGAAGAGCCATCCTCATATTGAATTGGTGCAAGGAAATCTTAAGCTCTACGTCGGGAAAAACGCAGACATCGGCAAAGTAGAAAGAGACTTCAACTCGGGAACGTTGGTGTACTTTGTCGTTAGCTTCAATCTCCATGGTCCGGTTGCCAACGGGATCACTTTCATACCACAAGAACCATCAAACGGTTGACAGAAGTGTGGGGATCAATAGATTGAAGGAGGCAATAGTGGAAAACGCTGGTCAAATATAGTAGAACAGTTAAATTAGCTCCTTGAGAGAACTAAAAAAATCTTGTAACTTCTTACTTCTTTGACGGCCTCATGGTTTGGCAGGTGTTTTGCATGATAGATGACTATCAAGTGCAATTCCCAAACTTGACAGTATTCGTAAACACAGTGCATCCATATTCTAATATTTATAAACGTAATTTGTTTTAATTTTGTCAAAAGTAATCTCTGTATTAATATTATGTCAACAAGTGGGGTGTGGAATCACGTCTCATCTTTAAAGAGGGAAATGAGATTTTCTTTTAAACCTGGAAAGTAGCAGACGCTTTATAATTTTTACAGTTTTGATGTCATTTTCGATTTGAATAACTTTCTTTTTATAATCGTGCCCTATTGTGGTTTTTTCTGGATTATAACCAATCAGCATTCCGTATAGCTTTCATAAAGCATTTTTGATTCAGCTCTGAACTTAGCTTAAGGTATGTGCTTCATCAGAATGTATTACCTGATTTGACCGTAGGATGAGCTTATTCTCATGAAATCTGAATTCCCTGAAATTGGCTATCCTTAAAAAAGGCTGCAGTTGTGACAAAAATTCTGGGAATCAGAGACTGAGAGGGAGTAGAAAAACGGTCCCAATTTATTAGCTACGGTAACCATCAGTCCCTCGGCGTGTGTTATTGTCATTACCAAGTAAAATTCGATTTTTTCGGTGAAGAAAATGGACAAAAACGTCACTTTATCTATACTTTTGCGACTTCTACTATCATTGTCCGGTAAAATAAAAAATGGCCTATCATCCTTTCTCCCCCACCGCCTTTAGATGTCAGGCAAGTGGGGAGGCAACTTTAGAAAAAAAGCTCTTTTTCGATTGCCAAGATTGGAGTACTTTAGGCTCGCACTTGGTCAAAATTAGAGATTCCATCAACAGCGGATCCTGTTTTATCTCAGGATGGTTACCATCAAGAAACGAAAGCGTAAGTTTTAAACTTCGTTTCAAAGTGATTTAAAGTCTTACAGTACATGGGGTCCTAATTGGATTTAGAGTAACAGAGCTGGCTACTCAACTCAGCTGAACCTCCTATTCATTGGAAGAAAAAACGCTAAAATCGATTCATAGCTGAGGGAAAAAGTGAAAAAAAAAAAAAAAGAAACGCGGAACACCGGTACCAGACTGAGCTTGGCTTCTATTCTTGCTGAGAATGCATATGAAAGTAATGGTCAAACAAGAGAGCCCGCGGATATGTGTCAGTGGATTTGCTTCAAACAACAAAATGGCTGCCAAGTCGTGTTGCTCGTGCAAGATTGGACCTTCTATTTTGAACGCCGACCTTTCGTGCTTAACAGATGAATGTAACAGGCTGTTAGAATGTGGGGCCGATTACCTACACCTGGACGTAATGGATGGGTAAGTGGCTAAACCATTGAAATAAAACGAGCACTGTTCTCAGAGTACGATATCGAGGTCGCGATAAAGGACTTATTTTTCTCGCGTGACTCGCGTTAAGTGCATATCTAACCTCACATCCTATAAGTTGATGGAAAGGCTGGGACAATCTTTATGTGTAGGCTCTTAGGAATTCAGAAGAAATCTTGATTACTTCTACAGGTGCTATGTATTGAATCATCAAAATTGTGAGATGAAAAATTTTCAATCGTATCACGAGCATCTGTCAGATCGAGTCCTATGATTTCCCGTTTATTACAAAACGTTCTCCTATTAACACCACAACAATGCATTTCCTCTTCAAGTCTCGTTATGTAGTTAAAATTGCTGCACTTAATTCACGTTTCTATAGGCTATTCAAATTGCTACGGCCATGCATTTTGCTAGTTACAGACCGCACTGCTAACAGAACTCATGTTGCATGATTCCACTTGCATATAGCATAAGCCATGCAATGAGGGCTCATGAAATTCTCCAGAGTTCCCTTCTCTTCCAGTCGTGTGCAAAAGATGACCGCTGTTGGGTGAAGAATGAGTGGAAATCATGACCAAAATTCCTGTCATGGCATGCGCAGTATCAGGGGCATTCCTTTTTATTTCAATCGAGTTCATGTAATTAGGCATATCCTGACTCTTCAAAATGTTTGAACCTCAAAACATGCTGTTTGCTTTTATGAAACACAGGACATATTGTACAAATCCTTTATTTCCATTTGATTCTGTTAGATAGTCTTTTAAATACAAGAAAATAGATATTGTCACCAATGAAATCATCAGTAGTAAGATAGATACAAGGGGTCTAACCAACAAATGTAATTTTTTTAAGTCAATATTTTACTTGCTTGATTTACAAAGGTCATTGAGTTTATCAGAATAAGTTAACCATACATGATTATGGGAAATAACGGTAATTTACCTTATTTTTTGTAGTCATTTTGTACCAAACTTGACATTTGGTGCTCCCTTAGTGAAATGCTTGAGAAAGAAAGTTCCTGATGCTTTTTTCGGTGAGTGAAGAAATTTTTGTGATCAAGGTTACTGTCAGTGGTAATGATCAAAATGAACTTTAGGTTTATTAAAAAGGCAGATCATATCAAAGCAAAAAGTATAACAAAGAGAGAAAACATTTATGATGATAAAAAATTAAGGAATGATTGTTTTATCATCCAGTCTTAGAGATAGACAAGATTTGTGTTAGCATCATTTAGATTTATAGCTATCATTATCTCAAAAAAATTAAGGGTGTTACCTTATTTATGACTTAGACCCCATTGACTGCTCTTGGAACAATATTTATGAACATACTAGAAAATTAAATTGAGGAAATATTTATTTTGAATTGAGAGTAATTTTATAGCAGTCTTTGAGTACGAGTTAGATCAGGCAAGATTCTCACTGTGTCAAATATTTGACTTCAGATATGCACATGATGGTTGCAAATCCAGAGAAGGTATGGACTGTCATTTATATTTAATCTGATTATGCACAGATATTTTACCATAGATGCTGTGGTGTACATTTATTCTGGGCTTAAATGGTTTAAAATTAGTTTCATTGATTTTAATTTTGTGTAAATTGGTATGTTGTATGCTGTAAGGGTAACATTCCCTCCCTTAACCCATGCTCACCAAACAGTGGCATAATAATTTGAAAAAAAGCTTATTAAAAGAGGGTACGATGATTCTTTGATTGGTTTTAAAGTCATGCATAATGTCAGGTATTGAATTAAAATAACTAAGAAATTCATGAATTTTTTTTAAATTATGTAGTGGGTGGATGACATGGCAGATGCTGGGGCTGACCAGTACACCTTTCACTTGGAAGCAACAGGTTGGAATGATGATATGAAAACTTTGTCAATCATTGTGAGTTGTGGAAAAAATAAATTTTGATAAACAAAAGTGTCATCCCTGACAATAATTTATAATTATTATAATGATAAATTATAATGTTAAAAGTGTGGACCTGAAACCCTGTTTTTGTTTGAATTATGATTTTTCTATTATAAAGTAATTGGTTCTTGACAAAATTGATATTTGTTTGTTTCTAGAAAAGCCAGTGGACTTAATAAATCAAATTAAGAAGGCTGGAATGAAGGTATTAACAAAGATAGCCATACATGTAGATTTTGTTGCAAAGAATGTAGTAAAAGTAAACTGAGCAGAAATAGTTATTTTGCTAGCATGGACAAGAGGATTGGTGGGGAGCAAGAGTAATTATTGCTATAGTATTTAGGTATATATGGTAGGCTGTTGAAATCTGAAAATCATTCCAGGTCCGCAACCCTTTATGCCTAAGTTCTAATTCAAAATTAAGAAAGATTTCAAGTTTGCATGATCCACTGTCATAATTCAGCCCCCAGAGTTAGCAGAACCTTATTTGCTGGGAGTATATATATTCCCTACATATCCGGGGCTTTTGCATCAATTTGCATGACTTTGTTTGAAGATGGACATTTTTGTATGATAGGTCACTTTCAGATCAGTGAGCATCATTTCTGTGATAAACTGGTTTATGTGGTCTGCTGGCCTACAGGCCCCTGTATAGATGTTCTCTTTTGTATGTGTTTCATTGGTAGTGTAGTCAAAATCTTCATTTTGTTACACATTGCTCATCCTGCACACTGCAATGCACCCAATTTTTATACTGGACTTGTTTGACTGCAATTTATTTTAGCTTGAGCGCAGACATGGTAGTCTTTATGTCTGGTAATAAAGGATAGAAATTGAGAAACCTAGAAATTGAGCTTTATACTGTCTGCTCTAATATTAACTTTTAACATCTTCTGTAAAGGTTGGTGTTGGCATAAAGCCTAACACACCAGTTGAAGCTGTCCTGCCATTTGTGGAACTGGTGGATATGGTTCTTGTTATGACAGTGGAGCCTGGATTTGGTGGACAAAAGTTTATGGCAGACATGATGCCGAAGGTAAATTTCTCAGACCAGATATGTAGTCTGTAAGTTACATTAATGCAGGGATAAAATACATGATAAGGTATACTATTGAAAAATGAATACCAATGGAATGAACTTGGAAGAATGTTAGGATTGTTGATGGGAATTAGATCATACCCTCTCAGACTGATCAGGAAATAGGGCAAACTCTAGGCAAAGTGTATTCTCATAAGAGACTGATCGCCTTTTTTTCTTGCCATGAAACTTTAAAATTTAAGATGATCTTAAGTTCATGAGTGTAAAATGGTCTGAAACATGGCCAGAAAGAAATTGCTTTGAAATTTGTGGTAACCGTTATATTCACTTCATGAAGTGCTTTCAAAAACTGATGTTTAATTTGTACCATATAAGGTATTATCTTCCTCTTTTAAGACACTTATTTTAAGGGACCACAAAACTGTTTCTTAAAAATTTATTTATTTTGAGTTTAACTTAATATTAATAATATTTTTTTTCTCTGGCAGGTCAAACACCTAAGAACCAAATATAGGGTTTTAGACATTGAAGTTGATGGTGGAGTAGGAATTCCTACAATTGAAGCAGCTGCTCAGGTATCTAAAGATTATGTGCCAACTTTTTTAAGTACTGTTCATTTCAAGTAAGTACTGGACAGAGTGACCCCATAAGTGAAAGCCAGTGGATAGAGATAATAATAAAAATGGATTCTTGCCTAAGCCTTGTTCTTAAATTTGTGGGTCTACTCAACACCAAAATTGGAGCCAGGGATGCATTTTTGTTTCATGCATATGATTCCAGAAATAAAAGAACTTGATCAAATTAACATGAATTACTAGTATGCCTTATTTGATTCTTATTTACTTTATATTTTGTCTTGTATGGGTATCAAGTCACTCCATTGACCACTTTCAAAAATGGCTGCTGGAGTAATAATATTCTTTTGTTTAAATTTAAATTAGCCTTTCTGGCCTCGCTTGAGATAATGTATTCTTTTGAATTTTGTACTGGAGAACGAGGCCAGAAAGGCTAATTTAAACTTAAACAAAAGAATATTAATCCGGCAGCAATTTATAAAAGTGGTCTATTCACTCGAAATCCAAAAATGAAATTGGAGTTACCGGGAAAAGGCATTGTCAGTAGTTTACCATGTGACATTTTGTGAATGTTGACCACAAATGTTTTTATAGTTACTTGAATGTACAATTTATAGCTTGCCACATGGCCATTGAACTTAGGCAGCCAAATTGGGGTCTTTTGCTAAATTTAAAGTTGCTAAAGTTGTTTTCTACCAGCTGTGGTGACCCAAATGGTCACAGCTTTGAGCAATGTCATTTTAAAGGTAACCTTAAAGTACTACATATTGTTTCAAAGGCAGGGGCCAACATGATCGTATCTGGCAGTGCCATCATCAAAAGTGACAAACCAAAGGAGGTGATTGATGCCTTGAGAGCAACCACAGAAAAATGGATAAAGATTAACAGTGAAACAAGTCAATGAATCACTTAGTTTGTCAGTGACAGCTACAGGGAAATTTTCAGCTTTGAATTTTGCTAAGAAAGACCAATGGTCATATATTTAATTGGAATATTTTTTATTGTTTATATTAAGCTGCGAGAACATTTCATATGAAAATAGATAAATTGCCAAGCCTTACTGTACGTGAAATTTGTTTATATCCAGGTGAATATATCTTGTTTTTCAGCGCACTACAGTTTGTACATTTACACGTAGCTGTGTCAGGGTTACACTTATCCTTCATAATCATTCACCAACATTCCTACAAATTGCACTCCAATGTCTAGTGTCACATATTTATCTGTTTTAAGTACTCCACCCATTTCACCTCATACAAAAGATTTAAAATGGAAACTTGTACACCGTTAGGTAAAATATAAAAATTGTAAACCCTCTTAAGAAAAAAAAATCTGATGGTGCTCAAATGAACAATTTAACCTTTAACTCCCATGAGTGACCAAGACAGAATTTATCCAGACAGTATCAGTACAATGTCAAGCAGACAAGTGAGGAGAATAAAGAAGAACATTAATCAGCCAATTAATACAAATTATGTAAATTTTCTAATGACAAATTGTTCAAACTAACATAAGAATTGTATGGCAGACAGTAAGGAGGGGGGCTTTGGGATATTTTTGGTTTTGACTGTTTTTTGGATCGGGTTTTGAGTTTTGATTTTCACGGCAGTTTGTGGATTTTGGGTGTTTTTGCATTTGGTTTTCGGTTTTTCCTTTTTGACACCTTAAAGGTGAAAATGTAGCGGTTTTGTCAGGTTTGCATGCGGTTTTCGGTTTTGCTGCCTTTTTTCGTCGGTTTTTCGGTTTTGGGAGGTTTTTTCCTCCGGTTTTGCGGTTTCCCAGAGGTCCCAATGCCCCCTTCAAGTGAAAGCCAGAGGATAGAGATAATGATAAAAATGGATTCTAGCCTAAGCCTTGTTCTTAAACTTGCCATGGGTCTAGTCATTACTAAAATTGGAGCCTGGGATGCATTGTTCTACTTATGACTTCCAGAAATAAAGAACTTGATCTAGTTAATGTCAATTACTAAATATGCCTAGTTTGATTCTGGCTTATTTGATATATCTCTTTGTCAAGTTCAAAATTTCCATTTGACGACTCAAACGGATTTTCATAAATTTATTCAACTTCTTTTACCATGAAAACTTTGCTAACGTCATGATCACTGAAGCAATAGTGAGAACTTAGTGCCACTGTCACAAGAAAAATTAAACGGTTTTAAGCACGGCGGCTAAAACTTCGCTTTCAGTTGAAAGATCTTGCGTTAACTGGTATGACAAGAAAAATAAGTTAACCTTTATACTGCTTGCAGGCTGTCGCAGTGCTTTCGTGAGCTCTTGTGATATGGTAGAACTTTCTAGAAATGAAAGTGGCGCGCACGTGTATTAGCAAATTCACAAACAGAAGACTTAAAGTAAATAAACGTCTCTGCAATAGTTCTAATTAACAATTCCACGAGCATGCATTGGATAAGAGATGATAGATAGCCAATGAGACGTGTAGTGCCAAGTTGGCTATAATCATCTCATATCCAATGTGCACTCATGGAATAATTGTTTTTTTATGTAAGAAGAAACTGGATGTTACAATGTACAGATATTAGATTATGTTATATTGGCTCATATACCATAATGGATAAGCCAATAAAAAGTCTTGAATTACATTATCCAATGATCCAGTTTTTAATAATAAAAGACAATAATTTCCTTAAACTAAAATGTAATGTTACGAGGCCATGCATGCAACTAAATTAAAGGTTGCACGCTGTTCTATTGCATCAGTTACACACTTAAGGAAAGTTAGACCAACATTTCCACACATACATTTTATTCAATCATTATCATCCCTGTAAGCAATTCTCACAATTTTGTCCTCTTACAAATATTAAAGGAATCTAGCACACAACACTAAGAAAATGATACAATACATATGGCAAAGAAAGTTTTTCAGGTGTCTAACATGATCCCACTAGTAACAAAACCTCAGTTTAGTGATAGATAAAACTCTTATTATAATGGATTGTTTCCTTTATAAATAAAAGAACAAAGACTAACCAACGTACAGATACAGCTGTCAACAGTCCTCTCCATTTGATAGCATAAGACAGTTTAATGTGGACATTTAAATACAGGTACCCATCTATAAATTAAGTACATTTTTGACAAAGCTGTTAATGAGAAGTTGAAAATTACCTTACTACTTTAAGCTATTGTTATAAATTATGAGATGCATCTTTTAAAAATATTTTTCCTTTTGATTGGATTGAGTGCCACAGATTCATGGTTTAAGTGAACTGTATTACTTAGTTAATACTCCAGTCTAAAAAACCCTAGCTTCTGATGAAATGAATGCCCTTGCAATATGTACCCAAAGAAAAAGCATTGGCAACCAAATATTGTCCTACACTTTTGAGGCTAGATGAAACTTTGCAAGGGGGATTGAAATGAAAATCATGCTAGCAGGTTTTTCAAAATAAGTGATTGTACAGCTAGATTGGAAGGTAAACATGGTAGATGGGGGCTAGAGCTAAGACAATGGCACTTCCTGAAATACAAGTTCTAACAGAATTGCTTTTCAACAGACTGTTTCTTCCCAATTCATTTTCAAACCCATTTTACTTTTAACTTTTCCCCTCTATTGTACTACTGTTCCATTTCAGTGCTCTGGTATTAAGTTGATTACTAGTGACATTTCTTGGATAATTTCTCAGTCATCATCTTCCTTCTTCTCATCACGCAGCATGTACCTGTGATTACATCATAGACTGAGGTTAATTTCAATGCATGTAAAAGATTATCAGCAGGGGAAAATATGGCAAAATAAACTTGGGTCAAATTTTTGAGGCAAATGATATGCTTTGTTTGTTTTTAATTAGCATAAATCTATCTTTAAAATTTACAGTAAGAGTTTAATTAATGTTAGTATCATTTGTAATCAGTGCTGCCTTTGAAATGAAGATGTAGTTTTATTATTATTATTAAACCCTTTCACTTCTGGATCTAAAAGCTACATTTTTCAGATAGTAATGGCAAGTTTGTTCATTTTCTGAATATCTTTTTTTTTAACATAATCATTGGAAATAATTATTGTATCTGAACAATTTACCCTAATCAATACTTCTGAAGTCTCTGCTTGACTTTAACTAGAATTTGAGGGAAAATTATGCTTCTCAAACCCTTGCTACACAGGATCTTGTTATCAATCCTCCAGACTGTCTACCATTCATTTCTTGCAAAAAAGCAGGTAAAAATGTGTCTTAAATCTTGAATGGAACACCTTAGTTTATGCTTCTCTTTGTCATCCTTTTTTCTCTTAAATTGTATTCAAGATGGAAAGAAAATCTGTCTTTTGTAACTCTTAAGAGTGAAAGGGTAGACAGTTTTCCCTCTTGATCTCCTTAACTCTGTACACCCTGACATCAGTATGTATATTCTCCATACTGTTCTCTGTACATTTCCTAACATGCTGACAGGGAGAATTTGTTGAGTCTCTATCATTGGTGATCGTTCCCTATATTCTTGTGACCCTAATGATTGTGTGATTCTGGGGTGATATTGTAAGGAGGAATTAGATGATAGCCCCTTTAGGAACCCAAAGGGTCAAAAACCTTTCTCATTAACAACCTTAATTTAACCATTACTGTACATGTACATTCCCACATTCATATTTATAACAAAATACCTACCACTCAGTAACAGGCTGAGACAAATCCAGTTTACCAAGGTCAAGCAGGACCTGAAGGACAATAATTATAATAATAGTGTCACCAACTTCACTAAAATATAAAACCAAACTGAATGCAACCTTGTTTACATGCTGCTTCTTGAGTTTTTTAGTTGACCTACAACAAAAACAAAAACAAAAAAAAAAAAACAGAAAAACTTTCATACCTGGCCCATAGAAGTCTTGCTCTTTGAGAAGAAAGACACATCATTCTTGACAGTAATATCCAAAGTGCGTTCCTTCACCTTATCTTCAGGAACACTCCATTCAAACCTAAAAAAATTAGTAAGGACTTAATTTATAGAGGGGGACACGTAACAGCTGTATAGCTGACAAACCTGTGGCCCTCTAACTAGATTATACAACATTACAAAAAACTGATAAATAAATATATAGATAATTACACAAACAGTATAGAGATAATTACATTGTTTTCCCCTGATACAAAATCTTTATAAGAGTGAGACACAAAATAATGTTATTTTATCAAGAAAAATACTTTCACAGTGAGATTAAAGTAAAAGAGTAGAAAGGATAAGAAAGGAAGTCTTACGTTTCATCAAATTCTGGCTCAAGAGTATTTTTCTTGACATCAGTTCGTCTGCGGCCACTACGAGACTTGTCAGGAAGCAGGTAGGCACGGATATATGGGTCAGAAAGACCATCCGAGTCACAAGCCAGCAACTTCCTTCAGGTGAATAACAAAAAAAATAATCAATAACATGTAACATATTACTCGATGTAAATAAATATAATTATAAAGCTTGGAAGAAGGCTCTGAAGAGATCTTTTCCTCTTTGATTATTTATGAAGTGTACACCCTCAGTATCCAAATTCTCCATTCACCTCTATACATATATTCTTTGGAACTGACCAGGAGAATTTGTCCATAAACAATCAAAGCTTCTTAAGTTGGAGATCATTCCTTCTATTCTCATGATCTTAATGAATGATTCAGCAGTGTCATTGTATGGAGAAATTACATATTGGTCAACTCTTGAGTTTAAACAGTAAGAGGAACGAATTTGGACTGACCTTGCTTGGTGAACAATGACCTCAAACTTGCTTCCTTGTTTGTTATAGCGTGTGGTGAGGCGAACATCGCCAGAAACTGTCCTGTTTTAAGAATAACATTAGTTACCCATGAATTAGTTTTCTCAATAGTTGAATTGGCTACTATTAAACCAGACAAGCACGGATGATAAAAATAAAAATTGACATAACAGTTGAAACAAAATCTTATCCAAGGCTGCCATCAGCACACTCCAATTAAAATTAATAGCCAACAAAAGTCTGTGCATAAGCAAATAAAAGCAGCTTTTAAGACTTTCATTAGCATGACAGAAGTGACCTGGAACACTGCTAGTCCTATGTAACTAAGATAGGATCCTAGAGTTCATCAACAGGTCACTTCCCAACATTTTGTCAGATTTTCCAATCCTTCAGGAGAACTTACTTTACCCCCCCCCCCCTTCACCCCAAGCTTACAGAGAGTAATAAAAGTGTCTTACCCAATGACCCAGGCAGAGCTCAAACTGGTACCTTTTGATCCACAGGACACCACAGTACAGTGGGTGTAATTGTCAGGCTTACCACATCTCATACAAGTTTAGTGTATAGCTGGCAAACATACACTGCCCTGTATTTAACAACTTTGTAACTTCTGATACCTTCTCACTTCCTTGTTGATTAGTTTTGAGAGTGCATGACCTTTGTTGAGTGTTAAGTACACGAGACCACACTCTCTCACTGACAAGTTTGTCCATTCTTATCTTTCCTTCATGCAGCAGTGTTGGTGATATTGTTTATCAAAGTCAAACATAAATCCACTGTTTACTTAACACCAACTGACCTTTGAACCTTCGGTACAGGCTTCCTTCGTCTCACAGTGCTTTCCTCGCTAGGAGCCAAACAAAAGCAGAAAAAAACGCAGCGTTTTAGGCGACTGTTACCTGATGCAAGGCTGCAAGGATTGTGGCATGCAGAGACAGTAAGGAGTTAAAGGACAGATTAGTGAAAGCTGCCAGCAAGGTGAAGAAAATTACTTTTGTTAGTAACCACAATTTGCTTTTAACTTTATCACTTTTGCTTAAATTAACTTCTACTGTTACATTTAATTCTAAATCTGTTACTGATTACCAAAACCAATTGCATGATTTACTCCTGCATGATTTACATTTTAACATCCATTTGAAATTTATGTCAACTTTACCCCTTAAATATTACTTAACCATTGCTCAGACAATGTTATTTAAAATTCAAAGACTGTCAGTATCAAATAGCAAAGTTGTTTAAAGTGTTGCAATTAATAGCTTTTAATTTGCAAGATGTCTGGGTGCTACTTGAAGTTGCTTTAAATTTAATTACAGGTTGTTATTTTTTATCTTACTAACACTTTAAATGAGATGAAGCTGATATTGCTGAAGAGGGAATCTGCTATAATTTTATCGGTTAAAAATCAACATGATGTTAGTAAATTATATATTCCATAATTAGAATTATTATGTTTATTTGTCAATCATTCATAAATATTCAAATTGTTAGAAACAAAGTTTATGAGGTCACATAAATGTTTAATATCACTTTTAATTAATATTTCTGATGAGTAATGGATTGTATCTTATTCACTTCTGGATAACACTTTCAATAGATTAAAATTAACAAACGATTGACTTAAACTCCCATTATCAATAAAGTACACAATGAAACTTTAACTGTCTTTGTAACGATAATCATCAGTAATATAAAAGAATAATTACATGTTTATTTATTATATCGTTTTCTTGTCTCATAAAGTGATTAAAGAGATACATTGAGAAAGACGAGAGGATTAACGAAAGATTGTTGATTGCTCCTAGTTTGTTATCCACAGCAAGACAGAGAGGTCTAGATGGATGAGACATTCTCAAACAATGACTAGTGGCTAATGTGGCTGATGCAGTGTTGTCCTGATATTCTTTATTTACAAAATTATTCCAATTGAATTGGAAAGCATGGGTAACACAGAAGCATTGGCTCACCTTTGCTTGCTTGCACCACCTGACAGTTCATCAGCAGCAATGACATCTGGTGAGTCAGTGTCTTCTTCTTCATCTGATGTGTCGTCATCTCTTGTAAACAATGCCTGGCAAATAAAGTATAGAAGAGAATTGCATTCTTTATACTAAAGCATCATGTACTGTAAATCCTCTAATAAGTCACCCCTCTAAAAATCCACCCCCCTCTAATAAGCCCCCCATCTAAAAATCCACCCCCCTCTACTAAGCCCCACTCTAAAAATCCCCCCACTACTAAGCTCCCCTCTAAAAATCCCCCCCTCTAATAAGCCTCTCCCTCTTTAGAGCAGGAAATCTATTAAGCCTCACCCCCCTCTATTAAGCCCTTCCCCCACCCCTCCCCTTCAAAAAACAAAAATTCAAAATAACACTTCATGTTAGTAAGCACAATAAATTTATTCAAGTACTGTAATTTTAGTTTGTCATTTAAAATTGATTATGATGATTGATTGATTGATTGACTGATGTTATCGTATTGGCATCAATATGGTATATGGAAATTACAAATCTCTTAGTGGGGGGCTTATTTGAGGATTTACAGTAGTAATATACTGTAATTAATAACTTTCTCAGCAACTGTCTTTCTTGACAAAGTTTAGGCAACAATCAATGAAAGGACATGCTGATCACCTCTTAGAGACCAAAGTTTAAAATGTAGCTTTACCTTCAGTGTAAAACGGCAAGTCAAAGTACTGTTGTGGCCTGAATCCTTCAGTGGGAAGGGTTGTTCAAATGTCATGTCCTCACTCTTCAGCAACTGAGCCAAGGGGAACTCCAGTTTACCAATACTCTTCTCCTTGTTGCTGTCAATAATCTGTTCAAGAAACAAAATTCATTGATGCATAATAAATAATTTAAAAATGAATTGTGAAGATTTTACTTAGATCTGAAACCAGAAGATTCTTATCACCTAACAAGATGTTCTTTCAGCATTAATTTCATTTGTTACATTCGCTGACAGGTAGTGACACTGCAACAGCTTGCGCCAATTACTGCGGGCCCAGTAAACCCACCCATCCCACCGTAGGGGAGGACATCCACCACACAGTAATCTAGTGCATGGAAAATTAACGTCGCCTACCCCTAACCTTGCAGGAGATGGCACCTACGGTTTATTCGTCCTTATCCGAGAAGACTAGAATGTCTACCCATTTCTTGATATTATAGAAAGGTAGCAAATTCTCCTCAGTTATTTTAAGACCCGAGTGTTGGTCCGGTCAGGGCTTGAACCCTCGACCTCCCGCACAACAGTCCGGCGCTCTACCAATTGAGCTAACCAGGAGGCAGTTTGAGAAGACTAAAATTAAATGGTCTGAGTTGTTTTTCAATCAGGCAGGGGGAAATATACAATATTCTCTAGCTTGCTCTATAGCATTTGTTAATAGAAAACACTATCCTTATGAGTCCCATGATCAATGAATGAATCATTACCTCAATATCCAATTCCTGATAGCTAGGATCATGGATCATGAAGCGGAATGGTTCTTCCCACACTGGACTGATAGAGTCTTGAATGGTCTATATTGTACAAGGTGAAAAAAAAAAAAAAACAATGATTACAATTTGTTCATTAGATATAAAGTCATTAATCAACTATATAGTCATAACATTTAAGTAAGAATAAGATGTACATGCATGTAGCCTAATCAAAAGTGTATAAAAAGGTGAGAAAGTATTTTATTAAAGAATTGACCATGCACTGCCCTATCAAAACATTAAAAACCTGGTTAGCACTCAAACCAAAGCCAATACATCTACAAGATAATTTAGTTTTATCAATCGAGTTGATAAAACCCAACCACAGTTTTTAGGAGACTTACCCCCTTTGTCCCATTGATTTACAACAATTCAATAATAATATACAGAAAAACAATAGCCTTTGGATGATCAATCAAATGTTTGACCTACCTTGCTCTGGAAAGTGATGTTTCCAACAGTAAGTTTGCAGAATGCACTTGTGGTGCCACGGGCAGCATTTGTTACCTAAAGAAAAAGTTATGATTAACATTAAAATTTCACTTGTTGTAGCTTGAGAAGCAGGGGTCTTGCATTCCATTCTGTCCAATAAAGGAAAAGAGAGACAACATTGCACACTCACTGGAAGATTCTTGGCTGAGTCCAGTTTCACAAATAAAGCTGCTGTAGCTAACATCTCTTCGCCAATAACAGCTTGGTCAGGCTGCGTATGAAAAACAAAACTAATAAACAAACATATTATAAACAGTCTAGATGCATGCCTCTTGGCCTGCCTAACCAAATGGGTAGTTCTGCCTACATAATGGAAAGGACAGATGTCCAATTCTTGCTAAACTGGTCCTGTCTTTTAAGCAGGGCCTGTCACTAATTAAGTTACCCTGCTAACTACTTTACTTCCAAAGTGTGTTCAAGTTGTTAGATGTGCAAAATAATTTAGACAGAAAATGGTGAAAAAATTTTTTCTGGGCCTTTAAAACACAGAAGAAACAATGATTTCCATTTACACCTGTTTGACCACAATGACTTCATTCTTCTGTTCAGCTAGCCCTCAAAAATAAAAACACCCTTTAGTTGGTAACTATGAACTTACTGGTGAGAGGTCTTCTGGTTTGTCAGTCAGTGTAAACCATGTGCATCTCAAGTTGATCTGGCCACTCTTCACATTCTCTAATGGAAGCCACTGTATTGAAAAATTACACTACAGCTTAAAATAAGTCGAGTTTATTACACGACTAGGGCAGTCAGTGGGCCAATAACTAAAATCAACCAATCAAAATGCTCTATTTCCAGTCAATATTCTATCAGTATTGGACAGGGCACTGTCCCGAATGGTACCGCACTTGTGTCCCTTTGAACTTCAGTCGTATAATAAATCGCTTATTAACCAAACTTGCTTGGGACCGTACTGGAAGAATATCAGCCCTCAGTCTTTTTTGTACAGACCTCGCTGCGCTTGGTCCGTACTGTCAAGACCTCGGGCCAATATTCTCCCTGTATGGCCCTCGCGCTTGGTTAATAAAATTATATGTATTAAATCTTAATGTTTAGAACCAAGAACCAATAATTAATCACAAAGGCCTATCAGGAGAGGGAGAAATATTGAAATGAACCTATGTGAACTTCCTTGGAAGTAAAAACTGCATCAAATCCTTTTAGTTTAATTTATCTTCTTATCTGATTGGCTCAGAAGATAGTGCAAGTTTTCACGACCAGCCACAGACTATTAATAATAGTTAAGTAAAACCAGTGCAATCCTGGCTTGCTTTAGTTTGACAATCAATTGAAATTACTCTACAGTTAATTCTCATGGTTTTAAAAAAGTTTCTTAACTGAATGTAGCCTCCATTGCAGGCCTTGTAATGTTTTACGTAAAACATCCGGGCAATCTCCCATGTGCTCTTGAAGGAAAATTGTCGAGTTCTTATTGGGATTGTTACAGTGAATTATTGTTGTTGATAGAAACCCTATGCTTGAACAGTCAGTGAGTTTTCGTTGTATTTGTTTAAATTGAATTTCGCTTCTTCTAAGCGTGTTTTCTGTTTGTAGAAAACCTCTCTTACACGTTCAGTTGAGTTTTCGATTTCAAGCATTATGTGTTTCTGAGAAATAAACAACACTGAATATGAAGTACAACTCTTTAGCTATAGTTAAGGATTTGCAACTGACCAAATCAACATTGCCTTGTTGGACAATGGTACCAATGTCAGCCTCAACACTAAGGAGATAAAACATGATTTGTCAAAATCAACACAGTCACATACATAAAAGTCTGAAGATATGAGAATGTGCTTCTACAAATTCATGTTTGGATAACTTACATGCCAAGAGATTCATCATCAGATGCTTTGTCCTCATCGAAGACACCAATCTTTATCTTCTGACCTTGAGAGTTATCAACAAATGCCTTCACATCAACAAGAGAAAAACACACACAACAATCAGAAATGAAATTTAATTCCCATGTTTAAACTATGGACTAGGAACCACAAACCCATCAGAAACTTTACCTCAAACACTTCATTCCATATGGGATTCACTGTGCTGTCCTTTGTCTTTGTGCGGAATGTCTTAGCTCCCACTGGTAACAGAAAGAAATGTAATCAAAGGTTAAACCAAAGAAAAAAAGTTACATACAGAGCTATGGTGCACAGAAGTTACTCCTTGGTGCTCTGAAACAATGAACTCATCCCCTTGAATTAATCTTCTCATGAAGACAAAGCAACTAAGAAGTCAAACAAATGACCTTGTCAGTAATTAATATCAATTATAAGTTCATGCCTTACTGATTGCTGATTCTTATTAATTGAGGATAAATGATAAAAAAATATGAAAAGATGTGGAATTTTCAGAGGAGTTAAGGCTCAAAGTATGATTCACCTTCTATGAGAATGGGGGCAAAAAAATTTCAGCAATACATTACTGCTGGTTAGTAAGGGTTCTTTATTTTTTTCTCAGTTTGTGAGAGGGTGGTATTCTACGAATCCTGCAATCTGATTGGTTCCGAGAGCAGGCAGTATTCTCCCCATCCAGCCCGCTCACGGCAGGCTGTATCTGTTTTGCAGAGCATCTCAAGCTTCATTGCAATTCTTCACAAATATATCTCATTTTGCCAGCTGGGCAGAATTTTTGAGCAAAAGACTTCAGTCACGACCTTTGGCGATAAATAATATTAATTTTTTCTTCTCCCTCGCTTTCAAATAACTTTGTTTTTTGGAAAAAATTTATTTCGAAATAAATTTTGTGGTACTAAATTTGTTTTTAAAAAGATTGATACGCGGCCTAGAAACAAATAGTCCTCAAAAAATAAATCTGAAAGTTAAAACGAGAGGTAGTTGCAGTTAACGATTAGGTTAATCAATGTGACTCTTAATCATTAATACCTGAATTCTTCAACACAATTTGTTCGTTTGTAAAACAGTAAGTGAAGTTTTGAGTTCTTCTATAAACACACTTTTACCTATTCTTTGCTGTAAATTCTTTTACTGTATTCTTTTACTGTAAATTTCACAACAGAAACCGAAGGAATTCAATAAATAAAAGTTGCATTAAATCCCCTTGTGTCTAGCTGGAAAGAGTCTTAATCACTGCAGCTTTTCGGTGAAAGAAAAACTGATTTACACACACCATTACAGAAAACAAACAAGCAAACTGACAACTCCAAAGCACACATTTGCATTCACTTACAATTTGACTTTCCATGACATTTTAAAATGGAACAGAGGTAAATCTTTGAAGATTAATTGTCGTTGGAAATAACCAATACTTTTCGTAAGATCTCAGAGTGTTTTTTTTTTACGAAAAGATCATCGCATAGTCATTTAACTTGTGCGTGTTTGTCCTACTAGTACAGTAACTGTTGTTTATTCAAAGGCGTACACTTTTTTCCTCTTCAATTGACAGGTGTCACATCATGACAGTTAGTTATCAAAAAATGTTTTGAATAAAGTTTGCTTGGAGGCCTTTTAAGTTACCTTTACAAATAAAAATGTTCCGGTGAAAGCTCTCTCTTTAACATGGATAACGTCTGTTTTCTTTATCATCCACTTGCAAACAAATTTTTAAGTTTATGGAGGATTTTCCCGTAATTAAACTCGTAATTGTCGCCCTAAATCATTCAGGTTCTTATGGCAATCATTTTTTTTTGTGTTAGAAAAAAATAAAAATGTTATTGACCAGCATGGGTCTGTCCGTATTGGGAAAAACTGTGTTCTCTGTCTTGAGTACCGCCCGAGGCCATAGGCCGTAAGCCTGGGGCGGTATCCAAGACCTCGGGCACAGTTTTTCCCAATACAGACCTCCAGCTGGTCAATAACACATATTTAATGTCCCTTGCTCACAACCTCTTTATGCTTTGATGCATACCTCTGAGAATGACATATGGATCTGAAGAGCCTTTTGATATGATACCAATATCTTTCTTGATTAAATCTTTGGCTTCCAAGACTTCAATGCGAAGAAGACCCTGGGGTGACAAGATCGAGCAAAATCAATTGTCAAAATACATTAAAACAAATTCACCTAAATCTGTATGCTTAGTGTTACACAAAAATGATGATAAAGACAATTTGCAGACAAACAATTCTAATGATAAGTTCAAGTCACTTACATCAGGCATGGGGTATTTCAGTTCATATGGATCAATGTCAGTCAAAGGCACTGTGATCCTGTTTGGGAGAACCACGAATCCTGCCACAACATCATCTATTACTCCACGGATGATGTCACTAAAGAAAAGGAAAACACAAGTTAGAGAACCTCACATCACCTCTACTCCATCCTCGGAGACCCAGGGACTATGAGTCAATTTCAAGTTAGGGCGGAGGAGCCACTGGGGACATTGTCTTACAAGGCTAGTACAAAACGGTTACAGTCGTTCTGGCATCTGATTGGTGCCAGAAAGTCTTAGTGTTTTTCTGCCCAATCAGAGTGAAGTGTGCTTTAGAGTCCTTTCATGTGTTTTAACACGGACAAATACAAGACGCTTTAAGTTAGTTGCTTGCCAGGTTTGTTTAGGCAGTACGACGGAGCTTTGCTCGAGGTGAAAAGTTTCAGTTTCAGTCTCAGCATACGATGTGAGAGAAATCGATCAGATTGTCACCAAAAATGTCACTGGAAATTATGCTGAATACTTTCGCAGGTATCACAAGAGAACGTGTTTAAAGGTAGTAGTAGTAGTAGTGAACTTTATTTATGTGTCGTGAAAACCTAGCGCATAGC